CTTTTACTTAAGAAAAAAATACGGGCACTGAAATCCTAAAGTAAAATTCAGTGAACCAATCTTTTAAAAGAAAAACAATTGTGTTGTAATTTTTTGTTGCCTTGCCACTTTGAGTATCTCATCTGAAAATCTGTTCCTTGCCATGTTTTTCTCCTGTAACATAAACTATGTGCCCTGTGAATTTCCGGGGACTGAATTTGAAATTCCTCCTGCCAACCGTTTGTGGCCTGGCGTGTATCTGAATGCCTGAATATCTCCCTGCTGAATGAATTTCGTATTCTGACCTGAATTCACTCGGGTTTATTGATTGGCTGGACGATCTTGGTGCCGTTCCAGAAGAGTCATCGAAGGAAAAGATCCAGGAGTGTAGAGGATGATGAGGAGGGTCACCTGATCTGTCAGAGTGGAGACGTACTAAGTGCAAGATGTATAGAATATTTTTCAAAATTTATTAACTTTTCAGATAGAATAAGTTCTTTTAGCATAAGATGTGAGGGGGCTTTGGAAGTCTTTTCTTTCTGTCTTGACTTTTTTGTTTGGGGGTGGGGATTGTTATTCTTTTTCTGTAGAACTTAAATACATTTCTTTTTTCTTTTTCCCTTTTTTTTCCCCCCAAAATCAGTAAATGAAGTTAATGAACCTACTAGAATGAGATCCCTGTAAATGTGCCTTCATGAGAGTTGTCCAGTAACATCTCTCAAACCTAGATATTTACAATTTAAAGAAGCACAGTCTAGAATAATTTTCAGTGATAGTACTTAGTCTTCTTGTTTGTTTGTTTTATTTTTGTTTGCTGTTTTTTTTAATAGCTCAGTAACTTCACAGCTTTTGTGACTGAGAGTTCTTTTCTTTATAGATGAGATCGTTGCTACTTTGGGTGAAGGTGCTTTTGGAAAGGTAGTGGAATGCATCGATCACAAAGCGTAAGTCTTTTTAATTAAATACATCTTAATGTATTTAATAAGATACTATCACGGTATGGTTCATGAAGTGCTTTCTGATTGTATCAGGTTTTGTCTTTCCTTCCTCATATGCTGCTCTGTGTATTTCTTTAAGGTTGCCACAGTACCCAGACTTAAATTTACGTTCCTACATCATGCTAAAAACAGCACTTAGACGTGAGGGTTGTGTGGGTGGACGAGGCAATGGGTGCGTCTTCTGCAGGCACACCCCAGCCTGGTAGAGGTCAAGGGCTGATGGGGGAGGGGGCCTAGAGAATGTGGGGTGAAGCTGCACCCCCCCACGCTGGGCAGTCCTGGGGCCTGTACCACCCCACGTCTGTATAATGAGCAAGGTCTCAGTGACACCTCAGTGACATTTTTACTACTTAAACGACTGAAGGCGGCTTGTCATGTTTGACTGACAGTCATGTTAGGCTGTGAGATGTGGAAGTTTCTCCAATATGTAGTTTCTCCCAGCATACGTAAATACAAAGGGGAGGTAAATGGGACTTTTAACCTTTAAGAATGATACCGATATATAAGGTATTGAGTATGTTTTCAAAATTCAAAGATTAAATTTTAGTTGTGTTTGTGCATAAATGAACTTTGGTTATATTAAGTCAGCATGTACTTAAAAAAAGACCTTTTCTGATAAGGGTCCCGTTGTTATAAACAATGCCTATGGTGATAATTACTGAATATTCTTAGTTAAAAAGTTACTCATTGTTCTAATCACTGTTAAAACCTGTCTGTCTTTTCAGGGAAGGCAGACATGTTGCTGTGAAAATAGTAAAAAATGTTGATAGGTACTCTGAAGCAGCTCATGCAGAAATACAAGTACTGGAACATTTAAACGCGTCGGATCCCAGCAGCACATAGTAAGTATACATAGCCGACTGTACTTCCTTTTGGTTTAAAGATTTCTGCGACGTTGCTTTCTGTAACATAGGATGTATGTATCCGAGCATTATATAGCTTACTGTTGCAATTAATGTATTTTCCTGCTTTTGCAGTCGCTGTGTCCAAATGTTCGAATGGTTTGAGTACCATGGACATGTCTGCATTGTTTTTGAGCTACTGGGGCTCAGCACCTATGACTTCATTAAAGAGAATGGCTTTCTGCCATTTAGGCTGGACCATATTAGACAGATGGCATATCAGATCTGCCAATCTGTTAACTGTAAGTATGTTTCTTTTTTGCTTTATTGTTAAATTTTCTTCGTGGAATTTGCTAACTATATTTTCTATCTTGCAGTTTTGCATTTGAACAAGTTGACACATACAGATCTGAAACCAGAAAATATTGTATTTGTGACGTCTGACTATGTAGAAGAATATAATCCCAAACTGGTAAGTTGCTGTCCTCTTCCCCACCTCCCCCTCAGCCATCCTCTGAGTTTATGTGGTCACTTGCATCCCATTGTGTTTCACTTCAGAAATGCGATGAACGCACACTAAAAAATCCAGACATCAAAGTTGTGGACTTTGGGAGCGCAACATATGATGATGAGTATCATAGCACTTTGGTGTCTACAAGACATTACAGAGCTCCTGAAGTTATCCTAGGTCAGTAGAAGTCTGTTAGGCTGATTGTTCGCCTAAGATTTTTTGTGTGCTATTGAATGGCGCTACAGCAGTGTTGTGTATCTTGGTTGAGCTGCTGAAGTGTTTGCAGTCTGGTATAAATATGGACTTTCTGAATCTTTTCACAGCACTCGGGTGGTCACAACCATGTGATGTCTGGAGCATAGGATGTATTCTCATAGAGTACTACCTTGGATTCACAGTATTTCCGGTAGGTAACTATGAACCTCAAAACGCAGCATGTGTAACGCTCCCCAACTTGGTGAAAATATGCTAGAGAGAGGTAGGGACTAAGGGGAACGGTCTGTGCAAGAAGTTAAGCTGCATTTGTCTGTCATGCTGAGTTGAAAAGAACAGAAGATGGAGGCACAAAGGAACTTTCTCAGCAGCATGTTTCTACGAGTTGCTTTCAGTAAACATTTTGGCAGCAGTGTGATAGGAAGGATCACCCTGTTAACTAACATTTGTAATTTACAAGCCACACTAATAACAGATGTAGCTTTATCTATCATCATCAGCAAATGCTACTCAAATACCCGAATTCTGTCATCTTGACAGTATTGCTGAAACTTGAAATTTATGAACAAAGGAAAAAAAGAAATAAGGCAGGGTCAAGGGGAAAAAACTCCAGTAGATAGTAACTTATTTCAGGAAATAGATGACTACAGCCTCTCTTTTTTTCCCTTAATCTGAAACTGATTATTGGTTGCAGGGTACAGTAAAAAATGAAGTACGGTTAGTGTGTGGTTCTTGATAACTTTGCCTAACAATGAACAAAAATGTCTTTCAATTTCCCTCCAGACCCATGACAGCAAAGAACATCTGGCAATGATGGAGCGAATACTGGGACCTTTGCCAAATCACATGATAAAGAAAACCAGGTAATTACATTTTTCCTACCTGGACTGCTCCAGTTTAGTTCAAATATTTTCAGATTTGGTTTAATAGCAATTTTTTTATAAATGCCAGTTCATCCTTTTGCTCTATTCAACAAGTTGGCCACTCTTGTGGAATATTCCCAGATCGGTTCTCAAGCTGTGAACAAACATGCTGATAAACTTCTAGTGAAGGGACAAAACAGAATGTTTGAATAACAAACTGTGGTCTGTTTGTTTAAGGAAACGCAAATATTTCCGTCATGACCAGCTGGATTGGGATGAACACAGTTCTGCTGGTAGATACGTCTCAAGGCGCTGTAAGCCACTGAAGGTAGGAGGACAGAGGGAGAACGCTTTTGGGGAGAAGAGCTTTAAGTGCAATTATAAGATTACAAAAACTTGTTTTGTTCTTTTTTTTTCATGAAGGAATTCATGACCTGCCACAATCCTGACCACGAGAACCTCTTTGACCTCATTCAAAAGATGTTAGAGTATGACCCAGCCAAGCGCATTACTCTTGAAGAAGCACTGAAACATCCTTTCTTCTTCCCACTGAAACGGGAAAAAAGGGCGCTGTCTCCTATAGCTGAGCAGGCTGACCCAGATGTCAGTCCACCAAAGAAACATAAGAGATGTTAAATATTTATTGTGTACAGTTATTTTGTAAATGCCCTATTTTGTATTACGACTTTTTGGGATACTGAAGTTTCATCCAGCTGCTGGCATAAAACTTATTTAAGAAAAAGCTACTGCTTGCCTTTCCTCAGTAAATAAAAATCTCAGGACAGTTGCACTTTTAACACGGAAAAGAGCATCCTCTGCTCTATAAAACAGGCCTCCTAACAGCAAGAAAGTAGTATTTTATTATGTTTTATTCAACTGTCATTGTCATAGCAAAAGACCTAGGACTGATTTTTACCTGTTAGTGTGACCAATGCTTTCTTCCTGCATAAGAGAACAGAGACAGCCCTTGACATTAAGGATGGCCTTTATTTGTTTTAAAAAAAAGTTACAAAGTAAGGAAGATCACTGTAGTATTGAACAGATTGCATTGTGATCACCTATTTTTTTCTTTTTAATTTTAGTAGGTGTACTCTGGTTACCAGTATTTCAGTTAATGCTCATTATTAGCTTACAACAGTATAGACTTCACTTTTTTACCAGATCTTTCTTGAATTATGAGCTGTCCTGAGAATTTCCATTAAGAATTCAAAGTTTCAGGGAGCAGATAAGCTGTTTGGTGTAACATGTCAACTGCCAGCATAAAATAATCTCTAAACCGCAGGGGGAGGGGGTAGAGTTTTGTCTGCCTTACCTGCCAGCAGTCACGCGTTCACAGAGCAGCACAAGCAAGCTGCGCCCAACCCAGCCCTGCTGGCAGCATAGGCCAGGGCTCTGGAAAGCTGCTGGGCAGCTGCGTGTGGAACGGTCTCTCCTCTGTGAGAGAAATGGCAAGACTCCCCCAGAACAGATGCTGAGCTGCAAGGCAGCACCTCAGGCACACAGCCCACCAGCTGTGACAGCCAGCAGGCTCAGCAGTGCCACTCCTCGTACCCCACCATGGTTACTGCTCTCCAGAACAGCTTCTCTCCAGAAGGACACTGAGCTCCCAGGAGTGGGGCAGCCGCCTCACCCAGCAGTTGGAATAGAGGATTGCTTTATGCTGGAAGTATAGCAAAGAGATGAGAGAGTGACAGAGTCCTTGGGGAGACAGACAACCACCTGTGAATGGGGTTATTTGGAGCAAGTGGTACGGATTGAAGTATCACACCGAGTTACCACACAAGCCATGGCCTCTTCACTTTGGAGGCTTTTTACAGTTTAATTTGCAAACAGAACTGCCATAAATCTCATTCACCATATCATGTCTACTCAAAGATAGAAAACCCAAGGGGTAAAATGGATTTCATTGTGGAAGGCCTTAAATTACATTATTACAGTAGAAAATACAGGAGGTAGAATATAACTGAAAGGACAAATGCAGGTTAGAGTCAAATCTAGAATAGCTCCTGTAAGCTACTTAAAACATGGTTTTAAAAACTAAACCCAGTATTTCAATAACTATAGAAAACAGTTGAAATAAATTGCCATGAGAGCCCTTATATCATGCTTGATACAGGGAGGTAGGATGTAAGAACCAGAAGGACACATGAGACATGACACTTATCTACAGCTCCTGTTTGCTTTACTGAGGACAGAGTTTTACAGGTCAGTCACCCTCTTCAGCTTCAGACTCCGACTCTGGAACAGAGAGACCTCGTCAACACACTGCCAGCAGGTCAGCCCCCCACCGCCCGCCCCCGAGTTCAGCCACTGCCCTGCATCCCCTGGAACACCTGCTACTGGATCCACATGGATTTCACTGACAAGCTTGTCTAGCCAGTACTGGGGGGCACATCTAGTCTCAGACAGCAATTAACACCCTCCCGCCCCCAAACAAAGCAGCATTGCACTACAGTTCCCAAAATGAACAAGCTCAACTTGTGAGCTAAGCCACTGGTTACCTTCTTCAGCATTCTTGAGCCATTCAACAAACTTCTTCATTTGCTCCAGAAAAACACTCT